TTAAGGATGAAGGAGCCAGGAGTATGTGGTGTTTCCACTAAAAACCACCCCGACGGCCGGACTCAGGCGCCCTACTCCGAGGAGGACCCGGACCATTTTATTTCAGGTCACCCCCGTATCGACACCACGCTTAGCCAGGCCCAATCCCGGGGAAATAACAACGACATCTAATACTTATGCTATTTATGTTTTAAATAATATATCGGCCAAATGACCGCCGCGGCCCTTTTTGCAGACGGTCATCCGCTCACGCCAATTTTCGATGACGCGGTGCACCATTTCGGCCGGTATGTCGGCTATGGCTCGTCGAATGTTGGTTTTTAGGTCACGAATTGTAGCTGGATTATTGCTGTACACTTTAGATTTAACGTAACCCCAAAGAAAATAGTTTAAAGGTGTTAAATTACACGATCTTGGTGGCCAACTGATCGGTCCATTTCTCGAAATTAATGACTCACCAAACTTTCCACTCAATAATTCCATGTTCACTCCGTCTTGTTGAAAATAAAGGTGGTCTGCATCAATATCATCAAATTCCGGAAAGAAATATTCGGTTAACATCGAGTTATAGCGCTCGCCATTCACAGTAACAGGGTTTTCTTCGTCACTTTCAAAGAAGTTTTGGACAATTTCCAAGCGTTGGTTTAAAGTGAAACGTGACATGATAAAATGGCAAACCTTACTGAACACAAATGTCAAGAGACGTCAAAGATCCATCATCAAACATGGCCGCTATGAGCTGTTAAAAACCCCATTCCCTATTGGTAGACCCAGTACTTACATTTAATATTGACACATCATACAAATATTTGGTTTCATCCGGGAATCGAACCCGAGCCCTCAACACAGCAGTCGCATACGCTACCACTGCACCACCGAGGCAGTCGTATATACATAATATAAAAATATATAAATTACACCCAGTCACAGAAAAAATGAACGTGCTTATCACACAAAAAAATATCTGAGTTAGAATCGAACCCACGATCTTTAGCTTATTTGTTAGGATCACTAACCCCACAGGCCAACAGGTCAGTCCACTTTAAAAATATATACATTTAAAAAAACATAAGTACATTTTACTTGAATCGAGAACCGCTGCTGTTCATATTACACGACACTATCATAATGTAGCATGCAACGTTTTGGAATAGGCCCAATAAAAATAAGGATTCCCAATAAAAATTCACTTAAACACGAAATTTAAAATTTTCACGTTACTATGCTGTCCAGCCCAGACTAAAATGACACAACTCCAAAAATCACACTTAAAATTTTCAACTTTATTTTGTGCCTTGAAAGTTTATTTTAGATCGTCAAGATACGGTATGTATATGTAATATTGTTGTGTTGTTAGAAATTGGAAGTCACTGTCGACAAGTAATGGGCGATCGTGACAAGAATAGCATTTGAATTTCCCCGATAGGTACAGTTTATGTACTGTAGTACGCCGAAAAATGTAACACCCCCCCCTTAATTTTCTTTTGTGGGAAAGAAAAACGTGATCCAAATACTTATTGTATTTGGTTTGGGATCTGGAAAAACACTGAGTTTTATTTATAATTTAATTTCTCGAATTGTTGACTCTTCCAAGACAAAGTGTGTGTTGGTTTGTTGCAAGATTTATAATTTTTTTGTTTATAAATAGAATAGTTGCAGAATAACGTAATGTCAAACTAACATTTTCACGTTGAAGTTTTTTAATTATAACGATACGATTACGGTCTTTGACATTCAATATGTTTATAAAGTATTCAAACTTCTATTTTCAAATTCCCTTCAGGAATTCTGTTTTTAAATAATTCTTAATTCGAAATTAAAACCGGATATCGAGTACCTATCCAAAACAAATCATATCATAAAGTACATTCTAACACCGTGTTCTCACTTTTTAATTTTCCCGCCTCCGTTTACGGCCAGCAAAAAGGTCCGCCATATTGAGCTTTTTTCCCGGAAAAAAAATCGAATAAAGGACAATAGGAAGGTCGGTCCATGTCATAATCATATTTTTCTCGCACAAAGGAGTTCTTACGTTAATGTGAACTGGTAATAAATGAAAGTCAGCGCCATATAAAGCATGGTTTTTATTTTCGTCCCCTTGTGTGACCGGAAGAGATTTCGCACAGCCATTTTGGCGCTGGGAATTTCGGCAGTATGATAACAAATGCAAATTACTTGATGGATTATTGCGTTTGAAGCATTGACCTGTGCAGCGTGATGGGTATCTATCTCTTCATTCTTTTAAATTAAGCATTGTAATTTTTGAACGATGGCTGTGTAGTAAATGTCAAAAGAAATATTTTTTTTTTGGAAAATAAGTAGTAATTGTTTTTTTTTGTGTATACTTTTTTTCATTATAAGTAATAATATAATAATAATAATATTAATGTCTCCAAAAGATACATACAGGGAAAACACACATGAGTTATTACAATCACAACATGTACACTAATTTTGTTGACCTCTGGTACCCAAAGTAAGATTAACCTTTTGATATGGGTACCAGGGCTCTCGTACTTAATTGCAACAGGTAGTTGATGTGAAGGTGTAGTGTATCGTAGTTGCATATGCATGAGGTGAATTGCTTAAGGTAAGAATAACATACAAAATACATATTAATATTATAATTATATATATCGCATTATTACATGTTTATATTTATTATGTTGCAAAGTATGTATATAAGTGTGTTTGTGTGTGTGCGTGTGTGTGTATGCGTGTGTGTGTGTGTGTAGTGTTAGTGTGTGCTTAAGTTTTGCATTTGAATTATAGTATACTTAGCTTAATCCGTGTGGTGACGAAATAAGAATACAGAGTGTCACCACCCCTATTCATCCTGTGGGTATCTTAAGAGTCGACTTAGGGAGAAAACTATGCAGGACAACAGCACTGCAGAGAGAAGGAAAACTTGACACAAACCCTATACCAAACCGTCTGGCCAGCGTGGTATAGTAGGCCAAAACCTCCTTTCTAAGGAGAGGCTTATGTCCAGCAGTGGACTGTTAAAGGCTGTTGATGACGATGATACTTAGTTTATATTTTCTGTATCTTCATAAGATTTGGACAAGAGCTATATGGTAACTTTTTTCTTGCATTGAGATCTAGTTAATGGATATATGTCGGAGTATTCAGCAAACGCACTTCTAAAACTTGGCAGACCTTGTGTGCACGGCGCTTTCTTGTGACTGGAATGTCATATTTCGGACCAGCATGCTTTCTGCAGATTGTTTCAAGAACAAGGAGCTGTTTGACAGTAAGCACATCACATTCGTCATATCATTGACTGCAGGACTGGAGGACTGGAGGACAGGACTGCTCTTTGTGCTCGTTCCAGGGGCAGAAGATAAGACTTCACACCTCCATCTCAGACAGATATAAAATATGTTAAAACAGACTGACACAGTACATAATACACTGATTTTAGTGTGCCAAAATCAGCTACCTGACGTAATTTTTTTGAAAATCTATATCATCTTACGGACGCGGGCAGTAATATTAGTCAGTTGGTATTTCTGTTAAATACGATTATCAATAAATACTCCCAGATACTTTGTGTGGCAGTCGCAGGTATTAGTGGATGTGTATGTCGAACATTCTTTTATCTTCTAAGTTTATTACTTTTTGTATAAAAACAAACAAGTATAGCCATGCTTGCTTGTAGAAGCTTACTAGATAATCAATGTTCACCACTCTGGTACTTGAAACAAGTTAATTCTAGTAGTCTATTAAGGTATATATTTATAACTGTCGTCTAGTCTAGTATAGAATAAAACAATTTATTTAAAATAAATTAAGGAATTCCTTATTCAAATATAATCCGATCTGAAATTCTGAAGTCAAATACTTAAATCTTTAATAACTTTAGATATAAAACTGTGACCTTTTACAATTCTAGATCTTTATTGCCCCAATCGGATTTTACATTCGAGCTCTGATTGAATCCAATCACAGTGTATTAGGTAGGTATGATATTCTACCCTCACATATAACTGCCTTTCGGCTGTACTCGCGAGATTGGGTCGACATCCGATCTAAATTTGAATAAAATTACTCTTATTTCATTTTTTTTCGTTTCCCTGCGCCATGTGTGCCTGTTTCTGTATTCCTAATGTTATTTAAAATCGAATTACTTGTAACCTTTTCTGTTTTTTTTTGTTGGGGATAGACTATCGAGATTATATGTTGTTACGTATGTAAAATATTACAGTACGGCAAATGCATCAATATTGTATGAAAATTGTTTCGTAATGTTGACTTTGTACAATAATAATACACAGAAATAGAGTGGAACGGAACGTAAATACACCAATGATGGTTACCTGACATAAGTGAGGTCACGCTTATGTCAATGTCATCTTATTTAAATTGTATATTATGACACCATACCTTGCCAAAGGTCACTGTCAACATAGTAGGGATTTTGTTGTTGAAAGTGTAGAATTTCGAAGTGTAAAATCTAAAGGGACAAAACTACTACAGTATTTCATTGTATAAATATCAATATGTTTGGTAATAGTGTAGTTTTTAATTACCAAAATTAAAATTTAGCTTTAAATTACTTTTTCTTTTAATGGTCATAGTTAACTTTAAAAGGATTCTGCTGAATATTCATTTATGACATTTAAATTTTGAAATGTTTTAACAATTTATGGTCTTATAAGAATCGTTATGCATTCGATATCTAAAAATGGAATAGCTTTCGAATACGAATTCCAAAGAGATTCTAATCTAGCAGAGAACGTCAATACCGGGTTGAAAGACAATACGTCTAATGACAATACAATAAATTTTGAAATCTGCAGTAATTACTTTTTGGTCACTTTTTTAAACTCAAATAAATTACAATAGTATAATTTTATCAGTTTTCTATAGTAATAGCCGTCCAAAATAGTTAAAAACCAGCAACTACCTCGACTATTATTCGAATACATTAGCAATTTTGCTACAGTATTGGTAAGAAGAAAAAAGAAACATACATTTATTATTTGTTACTTTTTATATTATTGCTTCTTTTCTGTGTCCTCTTTCAAGAGTTCATATATGTAAGTGAAGTCCTTCTGTCCGTAGCCACGGGATTGAGCAATGCGGTAAATCTGAGTAGTGAGGGCGCCGAGGGGAATTGGAGAGCGGACACCGAGAGCCAGCCCACATCCGAGTTCCAGGTCCTATATTACAAATAAGTGAATTTATAACCTCTAATATAATCAAAAGAGTGTAAAGGAAGCTGGTCAGAAGAATTAACATGAAAATATTTAAAATGAAACATCTGAACAAATAAACGACTTTGAAATTATAACACATGCGGTTAATTTGATGCAAGGAACTACGATAAAATGTGACACATTTTACTAGTGATGTTTGAACAAGAAACGTTTAAGTACCTCTTTATAAATCTAACTCCTACTTTATCGACGTTTATTTCAAAAAGAAAGGTTATACCATAACTACATACTAACCTTTGTAATGAGCTCAATTTTAAATCCATTTTCGTAGTCTCTGCTTGAAGGAGCAGTAGGAATGAGTCCGGGAACAGGACAGCAGACCTCAGTAGTCCACGAACGACCCGTAGAGTTGTTTAGAACGTCCAGAAGAACTTTGGGATCAAGACCAGCTCTAGAATAAAATCATTCATATATTTAAAATTCGGGCTTTAATAACATTTTATAACACAAAAGGGTTACAAAAACCAAAAAAAGGAACTACTTTTTCTTCTTGCAACACTTTTGTTTTGTTTTGCTGTTTGATTATGGTAACACCAAGTATCTAAACCTGTTTGCATCAATATTAAGTAGATAATAATATTATATTTCTGACGTGGTTTGCATTTTACAAGATATTAAATACATCTATTTATTACACTATTTATTATGGCCCAAAAAAATGTAATGTCAGTATTCATAGCGATAACATAGACAGTGTCTTCTGTCATATAACACATCAGACTTCAGCGTACTTCAAAATAACATAAACAATCGAAGAACTTATTAAAGACGTGATGTCATTAGTAAGCTTTCGTATTAAAGAAGACGGAAATCACCTTCATTTATTTTATTCGATTATTAGAACTCGATACATCGGGAAAAAACAATAGACAGGAACTTGGAACGTGACTGGTGAAGATATTATTTAAGAACGAGCTTAGACAAGCCACATAGAGATTGCGTAAAAATGTGAAAATATCTACACTCATGTGACTGAGCTTAAATGCGGCGTATTTTTTTGCCCTTTTGCATCTAACAATTACAATAGAAGAAGAAAGAAGCTTAAAATCTAAGTGGCTGGCAGTGGGAGAGGCCTATAAGTGGACCTCGATAGGCTGATAATAATGATGATGAATTACGATAAAATCCATCAAAAGCAAAGGTGTTATCTTTATATATAAAATGTTGCTTCAAAAACTCTAAATGTTATGCGCCCAGCGGAAATTTTTACACGCACAACATGCTTTAAAAATGGTTTTATCGACTTTTTTGCAACCACATGCAAAGCATGATTTTGAAAAAATAGACTTGACAGCTATTTTTTGATAAAAATTTAAAACAAAAAAATACCGATGCATTAATTAAGTATATCTTGCGATTTTAATACTTTTAATTGAACTCATTGATTGGTTACTAACTTGTCAAGTCACAGTAAATATTTTGGTTTATTTCTTAAAAACAATATCTATATAAATTAAAAACAGAGATAGAAAGAGAGAAAGAAAGAATCATAAGTGGATCAATTAAATAAGAAAACACGAATTACATTTCTCAGATAAAAATCATATCATACATTACGTGAAAACAGTTTTTTCAACTTTAACTGGCATATATTTCAGTCTCTAGAAAACCTTAGCATTTTATAAAACATTTATATCTTATATATAAAATTCTCGTGTCACAATGTTCGTTCCCGTACTCCTCCGAAACGGCTTGACCGATTCTCATGAAATTTTGTGTGCACATCGGGTAGGTCTGAGAATCGGCCAACATCTATTTTTCATACCCCTAAATGGTAAGGGTCCTCTAATTTTTTTTGTTTTGCAATACAACGTTTGCCGGGTCAGCTAGTACATTTATATAAAATATCATGACAATTTAATACTAGGAAACACGGAAAGAAATACTTACTTAATACCCATATTCATACACTCAGAAGTACCGACACCAACAATTCCCAAAATCATGTTGTTAGTGAGTTTGGCGATCTGGCCACACCCTGTCTTTCCACAATGGTACTGCTTAGCACCCATTGCCTTGTAAAGGGGTAAACCTCGTTCAAAGTCCTCCTTGCTTCCACCAACCATAAAGGCGAGGGTTGCGTTTTGGGCACCCATCACACCTGAGAACCGATTATTGTTTGCAAGTTTAAAACCTAACGATTTCCTGAGTAACAGTTGTAAAACTAAGTGTACGAGGTATTGGAATATTGAAATACCTTCACCAAAATCTGTCTTAATCTGTCTCTTTCTCTTTAAAAGACTACTTCCGCACTAGGAATACATAATGTGTCGCGGGGACTTTACAAATATACATGAAACGGACACAAAGAACACCCAGCCTCAGAACAACAATTTGTTGATCACACAAAGTGTCGTCCCATGTGGGGATCGAGCCCATAACACTCAGCGTTGTACGAAGCGGTGTGGCGACCGCTTAAACCACGACGCCATCCGTGCAGTCATCTGTGTATTTTATACAACACATGGGACATCACACCAATTGTTGTTTTAAGTCCTCTTTTTGTCCGTTTCATGTATGTATGTTTGAAAGTCCCAGAATTAACAGAATTAATTAATAGTGTGGGAGTTGTCTCTTTAAACAAGAAGAATCTTTGAAGCGTGTTGACCGTGTCAAAATTTGAGCTCGATCTAGCCTATTTCCTTCCTCAAGTATCAAACTATCTCCCTTTCATTTTTTATCTAAATTAGCTCAGTGGTTATTGAATCCCCATACAAACTTTCAATCCAAATTTTCACCCCCTTCAAGGACGATTTCTGAGATAAAAACTTAACCTATCTCTATACTTAATTTCATCTAAATATATTCAGCGGTTGAAGCGTGAAGAAGTAACAAACCAACAGATAGACAGACATACTTTCGCCTTTCTAACATTTAGTAATTGCAGTAATTATAAATATAGCTACTAGTGTGAATAATTTGTATAAAACTCAGGTACAAAACAAATACTTAAATTTCAATTTATTCGGTGTCTATCATAATTATTTTGTTGTTTTATTGAGTTGTCAGTTGATAACCTAGTCTTGACAGTTTTGAGTCCATCCTATCAAGATATTACAACATGTTTATTGTTATCAAATCGTCTTAAGCAGTTACGATGAAATATTATTTATTTAAAAAACGCTCAAAACTATTTATATAAAATAACAGTTTTTTTTAAGTATTCTTTGAAAAATATATTTCATAAGGTTTTTACATTGATTCGATTTAAAAAAAATAAACTAGCCTAGTGGAGAATTTATTAGACGCGACTTGTACGCGGAAAGATTCCAATTGCCAAATTTCCGTGAAGTTTTGGATAGGACTGACAAGAGAATCCAGTGGTGGCATAGTAACATTATTATTATTATTATTATCAGCCGAATGTTTGATTAAACCTTAATCAGATTTCATTTCTCTGTTAAAAAAAAAACTGTGTGTGATATGTGTGTTCAACTACACTGTTCGGTACACCAACAGTAATTTTTTTGAAATGTTGTAGGATATTATAAACGCTAGAAATGTTACAAGCAGAGCAGTAACCATAATATCTGTAAGCGTATTTATGGCTTAAAATTACTATTCATGCGAGAGACGGGACGCAGCTTTGAATGCCAAAAAACATTTCTCAATATCTATATAGTGTTTAATAATTATTCGCTTGAAGCAGATTAAATTTAAGTCAATATTGTGATAAGACAAGTGATGCAATTCAAAATAATTTGATAAACAAAATCACAGTTAAGATTACAATGTGTTCATTTGTACGTTGATGATAAATTTAAACTACCTATATCTACATGGATAAAATGTTGCTAGGCGCAAAATTCCAAAACCGCTGAGTCTAACTTTGGGAAGGTCTGATAAAGTTCAACAGCTTTTGCTAAAACTAAGATTGCTGAGTTAGCAAGTTATAAATAAATTTTATTGATAATATATATGAAGGTTTTAAATCAAACCATTTTATGTTCTCATTTCATATGTATATAAATATTCAGAACACGCAGTAAAAATATCTATTTTTTTGTTTTTACAACGACAACATTTATGTATACCAAAAACATACTTCAGCGCCACCTAGCAATGACACGTCAAACTACGTACATATCCTGAATCGCACAATAAAAGACCCTGCATAGATTAGTGTACGAGTATACTATACTATCACCTAGTCCGCTTAGAAGAACTTCTCTTTTTGTTGGAGATAATTATTGTTTGCTTATATTAAATCAAATTTTGTTATTGGAAGAATATATTATTTTGAACGTTACCTCCAGAAACGGGGGAGTCAGTAAAACTTTTGCCATTCTTTACTGCGACGGGGTGTATTTGTTTAGGTACGTTTGGGTCCACTGTACTAGAGTCGATGAGCAAAGCACCTTTGCGGCTCTAGAAAGCAAAATAGAAAGAGTTATTATAAGATTTAATGTAAAGATGAATAAATTTAGACAATGTCTTGTAGCAATGCTGAACCATTTGGTGGCGCTAATAAAATTCTTTTGCCTTTCCTATCTATGAAGATTAATTGAATAAATCTTTGGCTGTCATCGTTGGGGTTTACAACCAAAGAGGGTTTACTACATGTCGAATAAATGATGATGATAGATGAATGAAATTAAGGACTTGTTAAATTCAATTCGTACAAGTCCATCGATTTGACATCTCAAACATATTTCAATGCATTCTCGAACAGAAACAAAAAACGCACAAAACTTTATTAATAAATATTAATTAAGTACTTAAGTTATTTATTTTAATTTTTACGATTGAACATTACCATTAAAATAAAACTAAATTTAATAGCCAATTGTTTGACAGGTAACACCAAAGTTCATAGACAAAGACAAGTGTTCATATTGTTCTTTATTCATTCAAATTGTGTATTTCTCTAAATCATTTGGCGTCTATGCAAGATGATCTTCCATTTCTGTCCATTCTATAACTGTTTTAGTTTTGCTGAAGTAAATATTACTAAATTTGATGATAGTTTCGATTTGCTTTCAAAAATATGCAATTTAAATCTCTTGCAAAATACCTAGTGATAAAAATAAAGGAATTTGGAATATGTTTTATGCGATGTTAGAGCCTTTCATTACTCATCTCGTCACTCACTCACTCATCATTATCGTTTACCTGCCCTTCTCTTTCCTCGACGGCCATTTGCCTATCGCCAAGCCTTCTTGTCAATGTGATTTTACGTTAGATTTACCAGAAGTAATCTTTAATTATTTTACAGTGAAAATAAGATGCTTACTCTTTCAATAACACCATCCTTGCCAAGGTATGCGTCCAGCACAATCTTGTTGCTAGGCAGGATTGACACAACAACATCAACACCGTCAACTGCATCTGCGACACTCTTAGCTTCTTTAACTCCCTCTTTTGCAGCTGCTTTAACAGCATCTGAAGATGGATCGTAACCACGTACTGTGAAGCCCTGGAAATAAAAAGGTTTTTCTGGTATTTTACTTAAATAAGACATGGTATTTATAATACGTCAAAATTCTGAAGGGGTGAGTTTTGTTGTTACAATTATACAGACTTTTTTTTTATTAATACATAAAATAAGCAGTCATGCTATGCACAGAATTATTTATCATTTGTTTAATTCATACCCACGATATTTAGCTCAGTAGTCAGACATGATTATTCGCGACAGCACGAACTGGCCAGGCAAAGTTGCAAGTCAAAAAATAACATTGAAAGACTCAGCTACACAAATACGTACAAAACCACTCAACTCATCAAGTTAACAAAAGCGTGTTTGTTATTATAAATCGGCATTTTATGCTTATACCCTTAACAAAAGGCAATAGCGCTCAGTACTAATCGAGTTACAACCCCTTGCACAATCAAACGCAAAATCCAGGTGAGCAGAAAACAGGCTAATAAGATTTGTGATAAAAAAAAACCGTGGAGGTTCTAAATCCCTTTCCGAATTAACTGGGCGTGACCCTAAATCGAAGTTCTGAAGCGCCTCGACCTTAAAATGTTTTACGTAAAAAGCTTCCATCTGCATAACTTTACATAATCTCTAAATGAACTGAAGGGATTTTAATTTTAAATTACAGTAATGTACCATTAACCGATGGCTGGATCTGGGGCATTTTTACCTTTTGTACTTTTTATTGCTGAAAGTTGGGTTTTAAGTATAAAACTCGTTTTCAGAAGAGGTATATTATGGGGTAGCTATGTGTTTCTTTAGAAATAGTGGAGGTTTATTCAACCACATAATTTTTGCTTGGATTTTAAAATATTTATGTAAGAATGCATATGCACTTCTTGATAACCTGTTTTATTTAGGAATTTTTGGTGGACGTGGGAGTAGAAGAATAAACAAAACGTTGTAAATTTGAGCGAAAATATATGCTGTTCGGTAAAGATAAATAGAGAGAACTCTCATAGGTGACACAATCTTCAATACATTCATACATTTGAATCAATCTTCACATACTTCACAATAGAATCGACTAAACCAGTGTTTGCTGATATCTGACAACATGTTACACTTTATTAAATCTAAGAAATTAATTAAACTTTTAATAGTAAAGATCCTTATTTGGATTCTTGTGTAATACTCAAACTAGGTGTGAATAGTCTGAAATTCTGCAAATAGTTTTCAAATCATCGTAACATACATCCATGAATTTCGGCATGACGAAATATTTACAATTAACGATCCCTGTAACTCTGTAACTCTTAGATAAGTCCAATCGTACAAGACGATTTCTCGTAGACATAATTAGGTGTTTGCGGAGAAGACGAAGAAACATACTACAGCCCCATCTAACAAAGATAGATAAGATAAGATAAGATAAAGTTTATTTTCGATAAACCGAACTATGAAGTAACTGCTAATCCTGAATCGCGGTATGAACAATTCTCTAACCGATTAGCATATATACAACTATCTATCATCAACCGACCGAGTTTGTGTCTTAAGGATATGACACCGGTTTCTCCATAGTGTTGAACCGAATCGGCCTTGATGTCTGTTTTGAGTTAAGGCACTTTTTGGAACTAAAATATCACCGGAAACTCAAATTTAATGAGAGATTTTCGTTTTTGATACATTTATTTATTTGAAGTCAATAAAAAAATATATTTTAAAATAAGTTTTAAGGATAATTTAGTTTAAGCGGCTTTTTTAAGGTTTAAAACTTAAATATATTGCTAAAAGATATATAAAAAACTGGTTTTGACATGTTTTACTGTCTGTTTATTCCACTTTCCATTAGCAATACAATCCCGGGGCTATCCCGAAATTCCGGGCTTAGAAAAATGGACCGGGATCGAATCCTTTAGTAGTACTACATGTACCAGATCTGAACTTTGATCGCTATACACAATACGAAATGAGTATACCTACTTATAAACTAGATTTTCACAATGTAAAGCATCTCTTAGACTAAGTGATTTTTATATTTAAATAATTGCCGACCAATAAACCTTGTTTTCGATACAAGAGTAATTTTCTGGAGTTAAAATAAATTGTTTAATAGAATGAAATAATGAAATTAGGTATGACTTTACACAACTATATTCGTCACTGCATTCAAGTTTCTTATTATTTGTTTAATTGTTGTGATTTGGCAATAGTAGGTTATGACGTCAAAAGTCATTACAACGTATGTTTTTGACGTTTAATGAAAAGCAACTGATTTGGCTCAATTGACTTATATCGTATTATTTCAAATCATTTATCAAAATAATTAATAATACTTTATCTACATTAGTCATAAGTTACTAAATTATGTAACTCTGAACTTCTCAGTACATTTACATGCCTATTCATCATCATCATCATCATCAACAGCCTCTAACAGTCCACTGCTCACTTTAGAAAACATACCCATTAGATATCACTTACTAAGCAATTAAATGTTGAAATCATTATAGGTAACGGAAACTATGTTTTTCTGCTAAATAAATAGCAATATAATAATAAATCAAATAATACCAGTACCGACATTGCGTTTTTTTTAATGTAGTACATTTAAAAAAAACGCAATGTCATTAATATTGATAGTATAAGGTTACTCGCTCAGTAAATAGTTATGTTCATTTAAGATATTTAAAGTAACCAAAACCGGACTACAAATCTGCTGTTATGGCCATAATATGATAATTCGTAGATACTTTGCTATGTATGTATGTATACTTTTAAATGACTTGAAGGAATTTAAAAGTACAACTAAGGACAAGGTTATTCGTAATCGCGACCTCGCTGTGTTATCAATTGTAGTTTAAATACTCGTACTGAATATAGATAAACACTTCATTGCCAGCTGCAACACCCACTACTTGCTTGAAATAATAATAACATAAAATAATAATTGAAATAATTGAAATAATAATACATAGTTAATTAAAATTTTAAAAACACAGATGAATGAAGAATGGTAGATAAAAACAATAGATATTACAATAAAATTAACTATGGATTTCACTACTTATAATTTTAAAATAAATTCGTCCGAAGAGGTTTTATTATGATTTTGAATTTTGTAATCTATAGCGTTCGAAGTTTAAATTCAAAAGAGTTCATACAATAAAAACAAACCTTCTTCACGAGGTTAGCAGCCATAAAGCCACCCATGTTTCCTAGACCAAGGAATCCAACACTTTTATCAACACCCGTGCTGTATTTCCTCGATACAGTTAGAAAACACTGAGTGCTGCGCGACGCCATTTTGATTAAAAATATAATTATTTATGTTTAAGTGTAACACGTTCGACAGAGGCGCGCACGCTGCTCGACTGAACTGGCATTTACTTAACATTCATATGCATAATCATATTATTAACATTTTATCAACTCGCAATAATAATGTTAGATAATACTAATTAAACACATGATCGTGACGTAATTAATTATAACATTTAATGTGGACTTTATGATGTTGGTAAATAATATGATTATTTTAATTCTGATGGATTTGTCTCTTGACTTGTAAGTGTCTTTGGGTGGCAGTAGTCGCTTACTATCAGGTGACCAGACTACTGGTTTACCCCCTATGCCATAAAAAATGGTTTTAATTTCAAGTGACTTTCCCTTAAACTAGATTACAAAGAACACTGCACTGCACTCACTGTTGACTGCACAGTAATGTATGTATTTAGAAATTTATAAGTATGTTTATCAGCAGTCTAGTTACCATAAAACAGGCTCTGCCTAGTTTGGAATCAGACAGCCTTATGCGAGATGTGTTAAGTATTTATTATTATCATTAATTGTATCTATCTATAATCTATCTATCTAATTGATTCTAGAACGATCAATATAATTACTATAATTACTATATTCAACATCACATCGGATCAGTCCTTCGTGAAAGATATTATAGATAGACAAGCGTATGCGCACCTTATATGTTTCATATATTATATTTTCCAATGTACTTATAGTGAGAAAATTACAAGTATAAATGAATTTATATACGTAAGTATACATTTTATAATATACAAAAATATGAGGACGCACAGTATTAATCGAACAACACTTTTCGAAAAAACTATAATACCTACCCTATTTGAATGACCTATGGTAACATGTTAACATAGGTCCTTCAAATTGGGTGATAGCATTATTTTCAATACCATTATCATATATTTCATGATAAGCGAAAAGTTAAAACTTACAGTAAGAAAATACGATTGAAATTGAAACAGACAACATTGGACAATGCTTATCGACACTAACAATAAAACAGATGCGACAAGGCCGCTGTACATTTTCAAATCAACATCACAAACCTTCAAGAAAAGAGCGTACTCCTTCCTAAAAGGCCGGCAACGCGTTTGTGACTCCTGAGTTGCAGACGTCCATGGGCGGCGATGGTCACTTTCTATCAGGTGACCTGTCTGCTCGTCTGTCCCCTCTACCATAAAAAAAAGAAACAATTGATACAATCATAATCTAGTATTTATTCAACGACTCCTTCAAAGCCGTCGGAACGAATTTCGTTAATGAGACTGTTTTATGGCACTGGTAACCAATCACCATCAGATCTATAGTCTTAATAGGAAGCCTGTTTGACATACGAATCATATTCTTTGTAATCAAAAAGAAATTATTTAGTGAAACAGGCTACTGTCCATCTCTTAACTTTCTTATCAGAAAATCGTCATAAAGCCAATCTGTTAAAACGAAAAATATCAGCTCAAACTCGAGAAGTTTCTGGTAGCCACTAAAGTATACCTTCATACAGCTATCTTCATCGTCAAATAGTTCCTAGATGTCAAATATTAGCATAGTTATTCAAACTTCATGTATATACAAAGCTTCCTTTACAAGCAAAAATTAGAAGTACTTTAGTATTAACTTCCAATATTTATTAATAGTCGAACTTTTGAGGAGGTACAGCTTCGACGTCGCCTAAATAGAGAATGAACCCAAAGGTGGTGTCGCGCCGTTGCTGGCAGGCGCTAGGAGGGGTCCGGATGTCTTAATAACAGCAGTTCCCGGATCCCTCCTATCACAGGCGCAGAGTGGCACACCGTGTGGTTTTAATCGGTCCGGTTCCGACACACCACCCCGCCGTAAAACCCCGGTGGCCTGAGGGGGTTTCCACAGGTAAAAAAAAGGCCTACGTAGAGCTTTCGGCTGAGATGATGATGGCGATTTGTTAACTCGTTAGTTACTCGTAGTTATGTTGCGTATTAAAAAAAGAACTAATAAACAAAACAAAAACATCGCTAGTTATTGTTATTTTGAGATGCAGTTTTGTAGTAAGTAGTTTAATAGGAACACAAGGGTTTTCATTTATTTATAATAAAATACCTGTTTTATTTATATAATAAAATTGACCTTTAATCTTTCTTGACATACTTCGAAGTTAAGCTAATTAAATCGTGTTAATTATTATTAAACAAACATATATAAGGAACTTTATCAAATCCGAGAATCGAACCCGTCTTCTTCCCTGTTATTACTATCAATATAATATACACACAAACTATTATCAACATTTTAAAACAACATTTTACTCAAAACAAATACACGACTATGATTTTTTTGCATAATAATGAGGCGTATTTCAACTATTTAATTTACCTTTTTGACGAGGTTAGCGGCCATAAAGCATCCCATGTTCCCAAGTCCCAGGAAGCCCACATTTTTATCAACACTAGCACTGTATTGCCTAGTCACTGTTAGAAAACACTTTGTGGCACTCGACGCCATGTTGTTTCTTTATTTAGCCACACGTTCGTTATCGTCGCATGCGCAACGTAACTGAACCGGTCTTGGCGCCATGTACTATTCTCCAAGAGTGCATTGTGCATTCTGTGACCCGCATAGTACTATAGACTACGTCTAATTTTAATAACCTTGAAGTATATACCAATACAAAGAGAATAAGTGTGATTGAACAATATCTAAATTAAACATAACAGTATTACAATCTGTACTACGTATAGTAATCACCATGTTAGCTGAATAGAATATAATATCTCTCTCTCCCTCTCTCTTTTTACCTAACCTTATCCTTTAGCAAATAAAATATTTTGGGGTCACCCATTCTTGTCTTTCTATCCAAACTTTTGTATCCTGGGATGATTGCACTTTGACTTTATTTAGGTCATCATTGCTCACTGATCAGCCAGCCCAAGATAGAAATTTATGGTTTTTTTTTACTTACTGTACATGACTTAACTGGGCATATTATTATGTGTGTTTTTAGACCAAAAGAAACCAAGCACCTCAATCACAAGATGTCAAGTTTAACCGGTCCTGTGCTGCCCACATTCAGCGATTTCCCTTCCACCTTCACCAGCTTGTCACACCACCTTTGTTTAACTTGAATGCAACTATTAAAAAAAAATGAAATTACTTGAAAAGAACGTCCGGACTTGCTTATAAATAGACTTCATATTTATTTTTATAAATATCACATCACATCGCATCAACAGCCTTTAATAGTCCACTGCTGGACATAGGCCTCTCCTTAGAAAGGAGGTTTTGGACTACTATACCACGCTGGCCAGACGGGTTGGTATAGGGTTTGTGTCAAGTTTGCCTTATTTTTGCAGTGCTGGTGTCCTGCGCTGTTTTGCGCCCTTAGTCGGCTTTTACCACACCCACGGGATGAATTGGGGTAGTGACATTCCGTACTCTTAATCCGTCACTACACGGACATTACGGACCGTCACTACACGAACACGGACATTATAAATATACTTTAATACTTCCCCAGCAATCATGATGAGGTAGTGACATGCCAAATTTTGTTTTTGGGATGGGAGAGTAAACGAGCGGTCTGGTCCGCCGCCCATGAACACCTACAACTCAACAGTTACAATAGGTTGCCGCACTTTGAGTACTGCTCCCATCCCGTCCCGTCCCCCCTGTCCCCCGCCAGAATCAGGAGGACACCCCATGAAAAGTAATGATAACTTGAAACTACCATGGGACAAAATCACAGTGAATTGTGAATTACCAGTGATTTACCAATTTTTTTTGTACCTTAAGTTAGGGTTACTACTTTTTATTTTTTTAAGTTTTATTTAATAAAGACAACTCCCGCATTAGGAATATATCCTGTGTCCCGGGGGACTTTACAAACATACATGAAACGGACACAAAGAACACCCAGACTCAGAACAACAATTTGTGGATCACACAAAGTGTCGTCCCATGTGGGGATCGAACCCACAACACTCGGCGTAGTAGGAAGCGGCGTGGCGACCGCTTAAACTACTACGCCATGCGTGCAGTCAACTTACTATCGCGTTGTTGCCAATAAGCTGTAAATCTAGTAATTATTTTATATATATAGCTACCATTCAAAGAGATAGATTCAGTTAGATAGCGTCTAACCTATCTACCTAGCAACCCTAACCTACGTACGCAAAAATCTAATGATAAATCACAGTTCACAGTGATTTTGCCCCTGTCTACTTAAAACCAGGTCACTGTGAGGCCGTGGTATCACTCCGGTCGAAAACATTTGTGAAGAAGTACGGCTCTCCCACAATTCCGTTATTCTCTACTTCTCTCTTTTTCTGCTTCTATAAATCAGTAGTTACTCTAAGTGCCATGCGATTTAAATATGAATGATTACATAACATAAACGATTATACTAAAAATTTTGATAATGTTATGAAATTTTGTTTTTAGATATCGATAATGAACACGATTATAATATTAGGTATTCATACCCATTGATGACTCTTTTCACATTTGTTTTCTAGAAACTAAATAAATCTTTTGGGTACTCTTAATACAGGTAATGTTCCAAAGAGTAATTTAAGTAAAAGTTCTAACCCTTATATAGGTTATAAATCATTATAAATAAGATTTAACGGAAACAGAGAAGAGACTTCATAGTAGGTACCTAAGATCGCCTTCAAATTAGAACTGTACGTGTTCTTATTTTCTATTGCAATCTTTTACTAAACTTTGTAACTATCAAAATTAAGATATATTTATTTCAAAATAAATACATACCTATATAGTACGCCTAATCTATAGCACCTACCGTCAGCCGTCCTTTTTTTAATACTACCTAGAGTGCATTGCTATTTTATTTTAACAGGCGCTTGAAGTAAATCTTCTTTTAATAAAAGTTCGGTCACAAGTTTTGATCAACTCTCGATCTCAAAACTGTCATAAAAGGTATTTTCTTAGTAAAGTATTAAACATCCAACGTTGACTGAAATGTGATTATATCGTATTGTAACCGAAAATTGAATCAGTAATCTGCTAGTCTTAGTTATACTTTACTATTTTACTACGAAAATAACTTTTATGACAGTTACATGATCAAGAGTGGATCGGAACTGAATTTTGAACCCGAACTTTTATTACGAGAATTGGCCTTCAGTTTAACAGCACATGAGAGAATATTAGGCTGCTGAGAGGTTATAAATAAAAGATTCATCATCATCAGCAGCCTTTAATAGTCCACTGCTGGACATAAGCCTCTCCTGAGAAAGGAGGTTTTGGCCTACTATACCACGCTGGCCAGACGGGTTGGTATAGGGTTTGTGTCAAGTTTTCCTTCTCTCTGCAGTGCTGTTGTCCTGCGTAGTTTTTTCCCTTAGTCGGCTCTTACGACACCCACGGGATGAATAGGGGTGGTGACACTCTGTATTCTTAATCCGTCACCACACGGACCTATATTATACGGAATAAAAGATTATAGATTAAAATTTATTATAATGCGTATCAGTATCAAGAGGCTGTCTTGCCATTTCAATACCCCTGGGGTCATTCACCCAACGGGTCATCGGTGAGATACAGCCACGTCTCTGTGTAAAAGTCATGGAAAATTTCATGAAAACAGTAATGGCCTGTCATCAGAGCCGTGGGGGCCATTTGCCGTATACTTTATTCCGTACTTACTCAGAACATGTCTTCTTAACTCTTTCATCACATAGGTAGGTGTTATTTTAAAATCAAAAAGCGCACTCTTACAGTGACACCCTTCAAAAGCCATGCTTATAATTACTATTGCAATGCTTTATGACACCATAAAAATGATTCACGCTTTAGCGGAACAATTATTTTGTGAAAACCATTTTATTTACACCCAAATATATCCTTTAAGCAATATAAATTTACCACAGTACGACTTAATTTGCATCCGACATTTTTATTACCACTTCTTTAACCAACTAGACGGCCAAATGTGAAGACAGCGCCAAGTTTACCATAAAGTCAGCGTTACTGTTTGGCAAAATTATACGTAGCCATGTAATTGACTGGCCTGTCAATGTGGTTGTTATCAATCGTGACAGTTGAGTTCAACAAACAACGTTACCTAAACAATAACAAATAACGGTTGTGTGATTTTTCAGTGTTTAGAAAAGTCTTCTACAGTAAGTCTGTCTGGCAGTCTGGTGACCGTGGAACAGGCTCTGTTTAATTTGGGGTTACACGGTCGTGTGTAAGATGAGTTAAGTTGTTAATGTATTAAAAAAATCACAAGTTGTGATATATTATTGTTGTATTGTTGTACTTTTAATCTTTTTCTATCTATTTATTTATACTCCCGCACTATATTCTTAAGAAAATAATCTGGAGATATCTAACAAAATTCAATACCTTAGTTAAAACATACCGTGTAAATTTACCTATTTTGAAGCGACTTCAAAAAAGAGTATTTATTTTGTTTTTTCAAAGAACTAACTTTTAAATTAGCGATAGACTCGGAAAATAAATCGCTCCTAGAAGCCTGGATGCCCCAGAAGGCTTCTGCGTTTTTTAAATTACCTTACCATGACGCATAAAGGACCGTTCTTGAGTCTAAATGCGAAAACCGAAACCCACCACCAATACCGATAATAATAGATACAATTTAACAAATTAATCCACTAGTTTCGTTACAAGTACTTCCAGTTCTATTGTACCACGTTCAACCCATCTTTGGAAAGTACTCCGTCTTCACAAATACAGGTATACAGGTAATGTATGTTCTGCTTCAGTTCTGCAATCACTAACTTTCTCGATTACCTCTCTGATACGATTTCATTCCCAACGTTTATAATTACTTTGCCGGATGCAAAAACTAGCCATTAGATTATCTAGCACACATTTGTCATGTATTTACCTAACCATGTATTTTTGAGTAAATAAAATAGTTTGGTTTGACTAGTTTAGTTTGCTTTGATTAGTTAGACTGCCTCGGTGGTGCAGTGGTAGCGTATGCGACTGTTCTGAGGTCTCGGGTTCGATTCCCGGGGCGGAACAAATTTTTTAAATGCTCAAATATTTGTTTCGGAGTTTTATACCCAAATATATATTTTAAGCAATATAAATTTACCACAGTACGACTTAATTTGCATCCGACATTTTTATTACCAAAATAAATATGTATATACAAAAATCTGGTCTATCTTTCATAGTACAAGCTCTGCTTAGTTTAAAACTAAATGGCAAGCACAGAGGTCACCTGATTGTAAGTAACTACCGCCGCCCATGGACTCCTGCAACCCACCAGTGCGTTGTCGGCCTCTGACTGCTACAACCAGAATTACACATTAGCCGCCTTTATTATTCCACTGCTGGACATAGACCTGTCCTTAGAAAGGAGGTTTGGGCCTACTATACCACGCTGGCCAGACGGGTTGGTATAGGGTTTGTGTCAAGTTTTCCTTCTCTTTGCAGTCCTGCGTAGTTTGCTCCCTTAGTCGGCTCTTACGATACAAACGGGATAAATTAGGGTGGTGACGCTCCGTATT